CAGTTGCTAGAAATGGCCTCTGTGGGAAAGAGGCTCTGTAATGCCATTAGTAGTTTTCTAATTGATCATATCATCATGTTTTAAACAGGCTTTAAAGTAGTGTCTTGGTTTCCACTGGGACAGGGTTAATTTTCTTTCTCATAGCGAGTACAGTGCTGTGGTTTGGATTTAGTGTGAGAATAATTTTGATAACACTGATGTTTTGGTTGTTGCTCAGTTCTGTTTACTCTAAATCAAAAACTAGTTTCTCATGTTCTGCCAGTGACCAGGTGCACAAGAAGCTGGGAGGAAACACAGCCAAAGGAGTACTCCATACTCCAGGATGTCATGCTCAGCATATGTACTGGGGGTAGTTGGCTGGGAGCAGCAGATCGCTGCTCAGGGATGGGTGGTGAGCAATTGCATAGAACTTTACTTGTGTTTCCTGAATTTTATTCCTCTTTCTGTGGTGGTGTTTGTTTCTCTTCCCCTATCATTCTTATTTCTATTATTATTATACTTTACTTCATTTCAATTATTAAACTGTTCTTAACCCATGAGGGTTTACCTTTTCCCAATTCTCAGCCCCCATCCCACCCAGGGGAGGAGGGTGAATGAGCAAGAACACACGATGCATAAACATGTATACATTATTTGTATACATTAAATGCATACATTATTTGACATGATCACAGGAAAAAAAAAACAAAACAGAATTGGTAACATCAGATTCTCCCTATTTACAGTAATGCTAAGCTGTCGAAGCTGCCTGCGACACAGCCTCTGCTGAGTGATTTGGGAAGCCTTGGAAACAATTCCTAAATTTTTTGTTTCCTTGAAATTCTTTTTTTTTTTTGTGGGGGAGGTGAGAACAGGACTCAGATGAAAAAATGAAAGATTAGTATCAGCTGAAGAGCTCCAGCACATGTTGAGCAAAGATTAAAACAATCCCTAATATTGTTATAAATTCCAAGATAAGCGAACAGGCATCAGGAGAGGCTATACATGCAGCAAGGACTGTGTCTGCTAGTTTATCTTTGTGAGTGTTTGAAAGTAGATGACAGTATATAAAAACAAAAAAGCCCACGCTATCATAAACAAATGCAAAATGAGCTGCAAAGATGAAATGGTGCAGGCTGTCTACTAGTTTCTTGAAACCCTCAAATAGGGAAAATGCCCTCCTGATCACTGCTGACTTATCTGCAGTGCATTTCTCAGCTAAATAGCCCTCAATAAGGCAAGAAATTTCCAAAGGGAGTTATCCCTGCCCATAAACTATGGACCAAATAGTGAGAAAGGGGAGGGAAAACCAATTTTTTTTTAAACCACAAAAATTTCTTTTGAGATCACTCACCTGCACTGGAACTATACACATTAGACATTCAGCCTTCACTAGATGGAGACTGGCATCAGAACCCACATTCACTTCCTCACTTACATTATGATTTCATACATCTGCTTTTTCCACCTTTCCTTTTGTGCTTCATAGTTTAATATTAAGAGCTTTCTCTACCCATCAAGTGTTGTTCTGAGAGAGGACTGTATGCCAGACTTGTATGCAAGAAGTAGGCTCAGTAAGGGTAAGTCTGTGTTCAGACTGTCTCCCTCCCACAAAAATTGCACCAGGGTGCATTTGGGTACCTCCATTCTTATAGCAGGCTTCCTTTTAAAATTGCCTTGTCGTGTTAGTTTGATAGGTGGTATTTCAGCTGGCCAGAAGACAGAAGTAGGGACACAGAGTTTATATGACCCACACGTTCACCTGGAGACCGCAGCTGTAGGCAGGGGCTCTCATGTTCTCTGCAGTGCTACTTGGCATTTTCTTTGCACAACATTATGTCAGATCTCACGTTAAAGTTGCTGTAAGTTCTAACAATGCAGTTTAGGGGAACTGAACAACCATATCCAAAACTGAGATTTGTAACTGGCCAAAACCAGTTTGGTGGACTACTCCTGCTGTTACATTTACTCTTAAATTGTCGTATGACATGTACGCTTAACAAGACATCTTGTGCGCTTAAGCAGTAAAAGCCACAAACTCAGGTTAATCTTTTCACTTGACCTCTAAGAAAACCTCCAGGAAAGGTCTTAGCTGGGATCTGTCAGTGAAGGTAACGCTTCCCCAGTACGAACTGGACTGCTGCACAAATCACTGGACTGTTACCCAGGAATTTTTACAAGGTAAGAACTGATAATGGCAGAATGGCTGCAGTGTGGCCCAGGAGTTTCGCCATTGCCCTGGGTTCAGCAGTAGCAGTCATTTTTCTCCTTCTTGGTAGCTGGTGCAGTGCTGTGGTTTTGACTTTCAGCCTGGGAACAGCTCTGATAACACCGATGGTTTTAGTTGTTGCTCAGTAATGTTTAGTCTGACCAAGGACTTTCTGAGTCTCATGCTCTGCCAGGGAGGAGGGGAAGCCAGGAGGAAGCAGAGACAGGAAACCTGACCCAAACTGGTATTCCATACCACAGCACGTCATGCCCAGTATATAAACTGGGGGCAGTTACCTGGAAGGACTAGACCACTGCTCAGTCGGGCTGGGTGTTGGTTGGCAGGTGGTGAGCAGTTGTATTCTCTTCCCTTATTATTTCCCTTATCATTATTATTATTGGTGGTAGCAGTAGTGACTTGTGTTATACCTTAGTTACTGGACTGCTCTTATCTCAACCAGTGGGAGTTATATTCTTTCACTTCTCCTCCCCATCCCTCCAGAAGCTGGAGGGAGGAAGAGGGAAATGATAGACTGCGTGGCTGAACTGACTGCATTTAAACCACAACCACCATCCAATTACATACAGCCAGGCTTCTCATTAACTTATCATTACATACGGGGACCTATTCTGAGGCACTGACTACAATGAAGGATGCTTCCATAACAGATTTTTTAACTTTTAACGTTTTTCTGCCTAAATTCACTTTTTGAAGTGTCTGGTCAGAAACAAACTCATCACAGCTTGATGTGATCAGAAGTGCACTCAGGGAGGAGGACATTTAAGGACAATGTCTATATTATTTTCACTGAGCTGTCAGCTTATTGTCATTTTTCTTGTGCCTTTTTTCCTTTCATTTCAAAGGAAAGCTTAGCTTCATTGTCATCTGGTTAACTGCACAAAATTGACAGCTGGAATATTTTTTTTAAAGTATGGATTCAGGGCATTGGCAAAATCCTGTTTCCTATTTGCCTGTGCTGAACCTAAAGGTTTTGTAGCAATGAAGGAGAAGCTAGGCAGGAAGCCAAGGAATTAGCCTCAGGCTGTACAGTCTCCTCCAAGAAACAAGCTGTGCTAGAGGGTACATAATCACACCAACTCTTTTCCCAGTTCAGCAGTCACCTCATCCTCTGGCATGGCAGGACTCCAGTAGCTGCCTGCAGATGTCCAAGAAGGTGTCAGCAGGGCTCAGTATGGCTTGATGGAAGCAGTGTTGTAAAAGGGAAAGATTACCACTTCTAGAAGATAGTTTACTCCACAGACAGACAGGTCTCAGTAGGATGGAACACAAGTTTGAAGGACAGAAAATGCCTACCAGTACAGGTCACATAAGAAACAAGCTAAAAGCCAAATGAGTTCTCAGGTCAGCAATAAAAACAGCCCAAAATCTTTGTGACATCTTAACAAAAGAGATGCCAAGAGCTCAAACAGCAAGGTCAACAGTGTTGTGGCCAGTTCAAACAATCAAGTTGAAGCCCGGGAATGTAAAGAGACAGAAGAATGATGATCATTGCCATCTAAAGGTCAAAGCATTTACAGGACACTGCGTGCCAGAACCAAATGAGGTCTGTCCCTTACTGTACCTATCACAAAAGGTGTTGAGCAATTGGCTCTTGTTCATATTCTAGGTTACATTGAGAACTTCCTTGCAAAGTTCTTCCTCTTATCTGTTGAGACAAGTTTTCACTCTGCCACATAATTACTTGAAATAATTTTTATACTTCCAGAGCAAACACATCATCAGTTATCAGTTAAGAATTCAGCTCAAGTCTGTCTGCAATTAAAGAAACACTTAAGCCCATGCTAACAATCACTTCTAAATAGCAACATTTTACTAAGTTCAGTCCTAGAAAGTGATGCCTTGAATTCAGCCGCACAGTGACACTGAAACACACAGAGAAAAATAATCAGGACTGCTTGTGTTTAAATAAGATTTAATTTCTTTTATTTTGCCCTTAGAGGATGACTTTTCAATATGATTTCACCAAAAATCACTGCTTTATTAAACAAGACAATTAGCATATTTCCCTTCTCCTCAAGTCCTTCCATGTTAATTCTTCAAGCACCTACAATGCACCTCCTTTCATCTCCATAAAACTTAAACCCATAAGATTCAATTTGATAACTGTTAAAATACTTTAGAGTCCTTAAAAGAAAAAAATCAAGTACATGGTATCTGGACCAAAATTAACATTGTAATTGAAGGCAGAGTCAAATCAGCAGCCCTGCATTACCCTAAGATAGGAAATAGCCAGCTGCATTTAGCTAAAATATTTATAACCTTCTCATAAAATCCAAATAAATTAAAGATTTTCACAGAAAACTTACTTAAACATTTGGTTTCTTCAAATGCAGACTTCAGAGAGCAGCTTTAGCTAAACAAAAGACTCTCTCAAAGGGAAATGCTTAGATTCATTCAGAGTTATTGTTCCTTCACAAACAAATGCTAAAGTCAAAAACAGTTCAACAAACAAAGGACTGAGCAAAATCTGTACTGGAAGCCCATACTATTCTAATTTTCCTTTTTAATTACTGTAATCTGCTTAAAAGCCATCTGACTTTCTTGAGCTAGGGCTCAGATACACAAAGAAATGCAGTTCCATTGAAGACTCGCTGCAAAGGCAGCAATCTGTAAAACTTTAGAGCAGCTTTGGCCAGGGACATTTGAAATGCAGCTGGTCTCCATCATTCCTCTTGCTTCATGAGGTCATTAGATTAAGAATTATACATATTAGCTTAGAGTTTATTTATTTATTTATAAAAAGGTTGATAAGAGACACAAGGACAAATTGTATTAGTGAAAACAAACTCACCCGCGCACCCTTCTCTGGGAAACATTTGCATCCAGCGCTGCAATCACGGCCCCCACAGGGCCCACTGTAAGACTTCTTCCCACCCTGTTAAAGAGTAAAAAAGAAGAAAATTTAATGTCATAGCTATTTGCCAGCTGAAGACCTTGAATTGAAACCTTTCGTTTCAGCACTTTCCACGTACATCACATCTGTCATGTGAATTTACTGGGAAGTAAGTGGCAAAATATATAATTACATTTTAGGTTCTCTATAATTGGGTCATTTTCAGAATCACCAAACAGACAGAAAGAGCTGGTTTAGAAATCTTTTGAGGACAAGTGAGTTTGCATAAGTTGGTGTTATTCTGCAAGGTGATGAGTGCCTTCTAAGGCTACCAAACCCCATAAAACTAGACGATGTTTTGGGATGCTCGGTACAGTATTAACTAGGATCACAATTGATAATCAGAACTTGGGCCTCAGCCATCCTGCATACTGCGTTTCTCTACATCACTGAGAACTACCAAGACAAATTTTAACTTAATGATCCTCACATTTCTAAGAGCAAGAAGCTGCACCCCCTGAACGTAAGAATAGAGAAATTCCTGAATGAGACAACATGGCATGTTAAACTAAGAATAGACGTGCACAGAAGATAGAAGGAAAGCACCATGGACTTGGATGTAATCTGAAAATACATTCTGAATTTGCTGTACTAGCATTAGTTATTTCAAGGCTAATTACAACATTTATGGAAATCTGAAGTCCCCATATCATAAACTTAATTCCCAGCTAATACAGACTGTGCCAGTGCATGGAAGTCAGCTACATGAGCTTACTTCAGAGATTTTGACCCACTCCCTCCCACGGTCAACAGGCTTGAAGTCCTGGGATAGCAAAACCCCTGCAACCTATGGACAACATCGTAACAGGCTTGGAGAAAAGCCCAATTTAGCACTGTAATTCAGCCTCACACCTCTCTAAGGAACACTGCCAAGTGTGCTCAGGTACAGTCCCTAGGGTTTGGAACTCTGAAAGGAATAAACATTTAAGTACTCCTATCAAGGTGACCAAACTAATGGCAGAAACAAGTCGAGACTGGAAATGGACGTTTCCTTACTAAAAGCACCCACAGAAAATATTTTAAAAGCCTTTAAAATTTCCTGACATCTGTCAGTGAGGAACGTGAAAAATGAAAAGCAATTCGGGCAAGTTCCTCATGTACTTCTGAACTGCTTTGCATTAGCCTTCTCAAAGTAACTAGTCGGATATCACTTGATGAGTTTTCTGCTCAATGTACATAAAAATCCCTCCGTGCACACTGGTGTTTGCACTGTTTTGCTAAATCAAATGCCTCTGGTTTTAAGGCAGCATAGAACAAACAGACACCAACAAAAAGCCTTAAATCCAATCTTCCATACTTCCCTAGCCTGAAGGGAACATTATCTCTTGCTGCAAAATAGTCATAACAACCTTCAAGGGATTCTAAGAAGCATTAAATATTAAAAAAAAAAAAACAAGCAAGCAGTACTTTTGCAGACTTTTTGGCAGCTGTGTTCAGATGAGATCCCATTAGATATGGGGCTTTTGGACTACCTAGGCAGAACAAAGAAGAGGAGAAAAATTGTATTTAGAGATGATATAATAGACTGTAAGAGCATCTCCAAACCGTCTGCTCACAAGGAATGCTCAGCACGAACTTGAGTCAGCAATGGTACCTTGGCAACAGCTCACTATATAAAAACTGGTCCCTATCTTAACAGACATACTGCTGAGAGGTCATTCCTGACCACAGGTATTAAGATTTTAGGATCTGGTCGCAAGGTGACTGAAGAGTGAATTGCACCAAGGCACACCTTTTGCTGTGATTATATGCATATTTAGCAGTGGAAATTTGGACTCACTGCTAGCCAATGTACACCTCTATTCCTGACACTTAACCTTACATTTACACTCTTAGCAGAGAGCATCATGCCTCCAGGCAATCAGATTATGCCTTCCCAAACATTTATTCAACTTTAAATAATTCAAAGATTTGTACTTCCAATTAATATTTCCTCCAGATCATTCTTTGTTCCAACAGCCATTTGCATAAGCCTTTGGGTCCCATGGCTCGGTTTATTCTGCTTGCCTCCTAAGAGTGAGTAGAGGCAAAGAAACTTCATTTCCTCACAGGTCTGGATTCCTTTAGGCTCACTGCATCGCAGTAGTTGCTATCTCAGAGCACTGAGGCTGACCTTGTTAGAAATCCCCCATCTCTGGTGGCAAATGGGTCCTTCCCAGTGGCAGAAGACTGGACAAAACCCAAGGATTCTTTCCATCCCCACTGCTCACAGTTAGCTAATATGGTTCTAGTCAAAATTCCCCAAAGTCAAAAGAAATCTTTCCACTGAGTTTATTGGAAGCTGGATGAAACTCTCACTGAGGTTTATTAGAAACTGAAAATATGTCCCTCTTTTGAGCAAAACTGTGTTCACAATGTATTTCCAACTTTCTTTTAACAGCACGGAGTCATTTTGCCCACTTGTGAATGAAAGCATTTGGAAAGGAAGCAAACCAAAGCCAGTTGGCTCCAAACCAGGTGTTACATGTCCTAAGTACTTTATTTAGGGGAAGTAGCTGACATCAGACACTCAAGAGCTACTTAAATAGCAAACAGCCATCTGCATAATATTTAGGAATACAAGTCTAAAGGCTTCATATAAGATTCTAGACCACAGTGCTCTCTTCTGAAAAGGTATAGTATGTTTTTCCATTCCAATGTATGAATGCGCAGGTCACCTGAACATTTATAGATTGTCATCTGAACACAAGCATGGGCCCTTCATATTTGTTCTCTGTATGCATGGAATAGATTTTTCCAGCTGCTGTGAGATATGTTTCAGATTGAAGAATATGGCTTCTCAGAAACAATAAGAACTAAAGAAAGAAGGGTACTAGTTATAGTGGTAAGCACTACCATTATAGCAGAAATGAATTAAACTATTGCAATTCCATTGGCTAGAAGTAGACCAAGGTTTTCAAAGCAGAAAACATGACCATAAAATAGCAGCACTGTTAAAAAAAAAAATACATTCTCTGAGATATAAATAACCGTAATTAAACTGAGTAACACATACTGATTTTAACTGAGTTATTTCAGGCTTCCACAAGAATAACGAGTATTATACTGCAGGAAAAAAAAACATTTTGTTTACGAAGTATTGATACGAGTGAGAAACTATTCTGAAAAAGGCATTTAAAAATAAGAACCAATGTAAGGACAAATTTCCTCTCCTGCTTCTGGTGTACCTCCATCAAGCATTTATGCACAGCTGATTCATTCAGATGGAGTGCCATTCCGATCTTTCCATTGACTTCAGCTTATTCTGGAATGAAGCCAAAGAGAGTAAAGAAACCTAACAGCTGTGATGCCATAAGAGGTGTCCAGGCTCACATTCATTCCAGCCTCTCTAGAGCAACACACAGGACCATGGAAAAGCTGCAAATGATCCAGAAGACCTTACCTGCACATGCAAAGAGAATTGTACCTGCAGCACAAGCAGAAGTAAATGAACTAGCACAGGATTTTGGTGGGAGATTTCCAGAAGCACAGCTCAGGTGAATGAACTGAGGCTCAATTTTGTCTTAAAACTTCTGCTCTGTATTAAAGGGTCAGCTGCAGACTCGACATGCTCTGGCTGAAGACAATGATTTCAATCAGCTAGGAGGGTGAACCCACAGCAGCAGAGAAATGTGAGCAAGGCATGTCTGGGGAAAGGCCAGCAGAAAGGTTAAAAACATAGTCTTTAACGTGAGGTTAAAGTAGCAGAGGTGATAATGGGAAAATAAATCAGAAGCTTTTGGAAAAGAAAGGATTTGAAGGAATGCCAGCATGCAAAAACTGGAGCACATACACCGAAAGAAGAGCATGTATGTGATAAGTGGAAAAAAAGATGACGACAAAAAGAAGTGGATGATGATAAAACAGAGAGTGAAAGAATCTCACACTTGCGTGAAGAGATATGGCAAGAATGAAACTTTTTTCCAAGACTTATTTCCAGTAACTTCGCAAATCCAGCTAAGGACTATTCCAGTCCAGAGCAAAATCCTAACGTGAAACTTCATTATCTAAAGCTGGACACAGAACAGAATGAAAACCTCTGGATACTTCAAATAAACATCTTTTATATGGTTCAGGATCCTGTTATCTGCTGATGACTAACAGAGAAGTTGTATTTATACCACCAGACATTCAGACAGTCTTGTAAAATGACACAGTGAGAAAGACTAATGAAACATCTCTGTCTACTTCATAAGCTATGCAATGCTGCTGTGTTAACCTTACTCTTTTTAGCCCTCATGGCCTTTAGGAACAAAATTCATTACAACATTTTCTTTATCTATTATTCTTTTAGTCGCTGAATTACAGAATTTAAAGCCCAATTCTAAAACCACTTATCCATATGTTCAACTCCTCCCTCTGAAATCAGCAGATGCTAGTTCGCTGTGCATGTGTTAATACGTCATTGCCTTACTGACATGAAAGAGCTTCTTCAAGGCTAAAACTGACAAAGCAGGAACCACAGCCACCTCTGCACTCAGAAATGTCAGTGTGACCCATCAAAGACAGCATAACATGATGCAGCAAATGGATTCAGTAATTCTTCCCAACATGAGGTGTCATGGAGCAGAAATAAACTGACAGTCTTGCCAGTTAGACTGTATGGAAGCAGTTGCTGGGATTTGTTTGGCAGTGAAATACAGAACAGGTGAGAATAAAATCAATCATGTCAGCAAAGCATCCGATAGAATTAAAATGCAAACACATTTTTCCCAGGAAGAACATCAAGAACCTGAACTCAATTCAACTCTGTCCTTAGTGAGGTTCCCCAAACCTTGACTTGCCCTGTCTGGTCTGGTTTCTTAAATAGTATTAAGAGCTAGGTCAAGGTTAGGAATAGTAGGAATGTTTTTCAGACTGTAGGGTTGGGTAAACAATAGAAGCAGCACATGAAGAGTAAGTCCCAAGTAACTGCCAAAACAGAAGCCTCTGAGCAAACTGCCTCACCTGACACATCCGAGGGACTCATCTTTCTCAGGCCACACCATCATACTACATCATAG